TGGGAGCGATCCAGCCCGGGAGCCGGGCTGGTGATCAGGCACTGGCACTGCGTCCCGGCAGACGGGATGGCACGCTCCCTGGGGAGAGGGAGCACCTCCGCTGGGGCTTTCCATCATCTGCCTGTCTGTAGTAGGTAACAGGTCCTGGGATCTGGGCTCGGGGCTCCCTGCCCCTTCCCTCCGGCTGGGGAGGGCAGAGCGGGGCTCGGTGTGCCTTGCACACCCGTACGACCAAGCCACAGGACTTTGGGTTGGGGACAAGAGGCTCTGGCCATGTCTGCACTCCTGCGCCACGTCGTCGGCCAGGTCCCCCTCCCAGGGGATTTAACCCCTGGCATCTGTGTCCCCGCTGGCCGCAGGCGAGGCAGGGAGGAATCCCTACAGAGTGGAAGCAGGAGGGATCTGGGAGTCAGACCCTCTGCCGGAGCCACCAGCGCAGCCCCGAGCAGCAGCGGCACTCGTTACCCATCCAAAAAGGGGCAGCTCCGGTGCCATATGCGACGCGGCAGGACGGGCGCTGCTGAGCCAGGTAAGCAGATGGCAGGTGGAGCGGAGCTGCCCTTCCCTGGGCGAGTGGCTTCGGGGGCACGGCCTTGTGCCAGGCAGCAGCGGCCAAATCTGAGCGGGCATGGGGAGGAGAGGGCTGCGGCACAGTCGGCATGGCGGCGAAGCCCTGCTGCTTGGAAATTTGCTCCTTTGTTCCTTTTTAGTGCCCAAATGATTATTTACATTTGCACGGGAATAAACCAGAAAGCGGAGAGTCCAGCGCCTCCTGGTTTTTGGGGAACGGTGTCCTGCAGAGGATGAAGGCTTGCGCTCCAGCAGCAGCTCGGCCACAGGGATTTGGTGGTGGTCACAGGACGGTGGGTGCCAGCCCGGTTCAGCCAGGCTCGCCCGCAGCAGGCGGGTGCCCGCTAACCAAATGACAATGGATGGGAGCTCCCCGGCCACTTCCCTGGCTCCCCGCCTCCCTTTCCTCCTGTTTTTCTGCTGCAGGGATTGCACAGACAGAGCTTCCATCACGCCCTTCGTTATCTCTGCCTCCTGGAACAGAAAACAGGGAAATATGATTAAAGCCCTTTCCCAGGGGAATTTATCAGCCTGCAGAAAGGCCATTAGCTTCGTCACTGCTGGGAGAGAGCATCCTCAGTGCTCGCAGGGCTGGCATCAACACAGTAGGGGCTATTGCTCCTGGTACATTCACATCACATAGCCCAAGCACGGTGCCCACCAAAGCCCGAGAAGAGGGACGGTGGGATGTGACATTTGCTGGTGAGGTGTTTTGGGAGCAGGTTGGGTCACGGAGGGATGGATGTGGGTCAGGAGGAGCCCGCGCTGGACCTGCAGGTAGCGGCAACTGGGCCAGCGCTCGGTTCATGTCAGGGCTGTTAACTATCATATGGTTTTCCACTAAAATGGGTTGCTTTGATGCTAATTTGCTTTGACCCATCTGGGCTGACATGATCTGATCTCGGAGGTTCACAGTGCCAAGATGGTGGGGTGGTGGACGGGAGGGACAGCTCGGTCACTGTGTAGACGAGGCAAGAGGGTTGAAGCCAGAAGCAAGCTGGGCTGGTCAGATTGACCTTATTGGCACCACCGCGTTGGTGAAGACAAGAAGAATCCACCCTGACATGGTGTTTTGAAGCTGCCTTTGGGCCAGGAGAAGGTGGGCACCATGACTGTGCCCTACAGGGCTTTTCCCAGAGTTGTGTCCGTAAGTTTTACCCTTCCTGCTCCAGTGAAAGGTTGTAAACCATCTCTCCAGCAAGGTCTCAAAACACCACATGGTGGGAACCACAGCTCTGAACCGTGCGGCTCTCCATACCTCTTCCAAGGAGCCAAAATTCCCCGTATCCATCCCCAGACACCCCATAAAATGTCCCCTTTTGCCATCCTGCCATAACGGTGCAATTACAAGTGGAAAAAGAGAGAGGAAGCACTGAGCCTGCACCAGCTGATGCCAGGGGAGATGCCAGGAGCTCCCTGGATGCAAAACATTCCTGGATCCTGAGACAGGTTGTGCCCTGTGATGCACTGAAAGTCTCGCAGCAGCACAGGGAGGAAAGGCACCCCTGGGTGCAGCCTCCCGCCCCGCTCCCATGGGCACAGTCCCGGGGGCAGACCCCACACCGGGGCACCATCAGAGGCTTTGGGTTGCTGCAGCGGGAGTCCCGGTCCCTCACCCCCATCCCACTGGATGGAGGGGCTCAGGAGTGGCTGAGCGGAGCTGGGGCTGCCGCTGGGATTGCTCCTGGTGTGTCCCAGCCCAGCCGCGGAGTTCAGCTGCCTTCCCCTCCATCACAGCGAGCCTGCGGTACCCGATCTTAGCCCTCGCGTGACAATGGCTAAATTTAGTGGCAGATGCATGCAGGAGCTCTGGAGCGTCCTCCTCGCTGCCGGTCCCAGGGCTCCCCAGCACAAAGACCCCCCACCAGCAGCTCAGACCCCCTGCCAGCCACCCGTGAGCCCCGAAACAGGGGTGTTCCCCCATCGGTCCTTGCCCTCCTGCACCGGGGTGTCCCTGCCAGACCCAAACCTCATCCCTGGGGTGCTGCAGACTCCCCTGGACTGGGAGACACTGGGCTGGGGCTTCACCTCCTGGGGCAGCCAGTGCAACCCCGCAGTGGGTGCAGCGCAGGGGAAGGAGCTGTGTTGTAGGGCCAGGGAAAGCACAAAATCAGGCTGGGTTTGAGCTCAAGCCTGGGGCTACTGTGAGCGACGCTGTTCCCACCGATGTTACTCTCGCTTTGCCACCTCCTGGCAGTCTCGGGGGGGGTTTGGTTGCTGAAGATGCCCATCATCGCTCCTCGGTGCTTAATATTAACTGAGAGCATCCTTGCTCTTCCCCAAACAGCTCCAGGGGGGTTGTTATGGGTTTTCCCAGGAACAGCCTGATTTTGTAAGCCCCATGCGTTAGACCCCCAGTAAAGCGTCCCTGGGAGCTGCCTGGTTTGAGGAGCTCGGGAGAGAGGCAGCGCAGGCAGCTGCCCCACCGCCAGGATCAGGCGTGGTGTGGTGCTGCCCGCAGGCGCGGATTTTGCCAGAAAACGGTAACGGGGAGGAAGGACCATTATTTTACAAATAATCTAAAACCCAGAAAAGCCTAGGAATGTCCTCAGGTGGCACCGAGCAGAGCGGGAGGAGAGGGGCTGCTGCGCGGCCCCTGGCACGGCACAACTCGGGGAGCGAGCAAGCACTGTCCCCAGCACGGTCCGCCCAGGGCAGCTTGTGCTCTCCATTAACATTAAATTTCTTGGCTTTTTCCATTAGATGAGCATTGATTTATTTTTCCCCCAGGTTTTCAGAGAGCTGGAGGGAGCACGGCTTGATCATTTTTTTTTAAGGAATTGTGCTCCGTGAACACCCGCATGTCTGGCGTGCACGGGCAGCCCTCCGTGCGCCTGGCAGGCAGCGTGCCCTGCCTGCACCGAGCACTGCCCTGGAGCCGGCAGGGAAATGCTATTTCAGAGGTTTGTTCGGACTGCCTGAAATAGCAGCTGCAGCATCCCATCGTCTTACTTTGGGGGATGATCACCAGTGTGCCGAGAAGCTCATGGGAACCGCTGACTACCAGAAAATCCCACCAGTCCTAAAAGAGGCTGTAAACATCCTGGGAGCACCTTTCTAGCCCCATTTTGCAGACGGGAAGGCTGAGGCCAAGGGCCGTGGGGCTGTGATGGAGCAGATGCTTTGCAAGCTCCAACAGCGAGCGCAGGTTTCCTGATCCCATTTGAGGCTTTTCCTAAGCAGGTTTCCCGTTGTCACAGGGATCAGTGCCTTAATTTTTTTATTCCACAGCAAGATGCTATGGAGAAGTTAAATCAATCAAGTGTCCTTCAAACCGGGAGCGATGCCAGCGTGGGCAGAGCAGCCCTTTCGGGGCGCAGCGCTGTGCCCTGGGCAGGCAGCTGGGGTGATGGTACGGGTCAGCATCACCCCACCTTCTCCCCCGGGGCTGGCAGAGCTTGGGTGGCGCAGAGCAGCCCAGCAGCGAGGTCCCCTGGCCACCCCAGTCCTGTCCCGGCTGGGCCCAGCTCCTGCTGCCCTGCCGGGGGGCTGCAGGCAGGCTCCTGCTCCGTCTCATCCGGCGCTGCCCAGGGATGCGCAGCAGCGAGAGGCTGTTTAAACCCACCACAGCCCTGAGCACCCCAAATCCGGAGAGAAAACATGGGGGATGCAGGGTCGGGGTGGCAGGGGATGGCGGGGGGATGGTGGGGGAATGTCAGGGGGACGCTAGGGGGATGCCAAGGAAT